AACATCACTGTATAGCCTTTATACTACCGCAACCTAACAGCATTTTTGTTAACATAAACATATGTGTGTGTCTGCTTGTTTGCATGCGACCCCATCGCATGCTTGAAGCCAGAACAAACAATGTTCCTTCATGTTTTCAAATGACATGGTGCTTCGTCGCAAAAATTGCACACAAAATCATCCAGCATCCTTGATTCCATCCCCAAAAAATCAACCACAACCAAGTTTTACAGCTTGAAACACACATACATACCATGCGAACAATCTACTCACACATGTGCTTCCTAGAATCTACCAATTCTGATGGATGGCGTAAAGAGCCTCTCTGGGGCTTGGATTGGCACGCTCTACTGCTCAGGGGTTTGAAGGGTATCAACCGGAGCAAACGCCGGAACACGCCACAGTGGGAAGCGGAACCCACAACATCCCCATGTTTGGATAGTTGCAATGTCGCACTCAACTAAACCATCTTCACTCCGGAAGACCCTCGGAACCTCGGGTCCGCGACCGAGCGACCAGCCCGGGTCGCGCCGTCGCGCCGTCGCTCGTTTGGAGAAACCGCCTCAGCCCAGGCACGAAGGACTTCAGTCTCCTGCGGGGCCCCGGTTGGGAAGACACAGACCATCCATGGGACTGGCCTATGTAGCTACATTGGGGTGGTTGAAACGGAGTCAATCAACGGTCATTCGGGCGGCATCAATCAACCATACATGAATGGTCTGGGAGTGGTTTCAATTGTTCGATGGCACGTTTTCCCCAAGATGTCCTAGAAAGATGGGGGTCCAGGTAAACCACCGACATCGGGGGAGCTTGGGCCATCTACTCTCAACCCACTATACTTCAGGCGTGGATATGGCCCTAGAGCTGCTTGGATACATCCCATGACCAGGCCACAGTGGATGATGGTTAGGTTGCAGGCCTTTCTCTGAAATAGTTATAATTATCTTTTACTGACTGTTGGCAATGGGACACACTGTGCCCGACTGTACTGCTAATATAGCTCAATGTCAATGGCTCATTGATATGATCCGTTGCAAAACACTGTTCGCAAAAAAGGAAGAACTGTCCCGAGTCTGGGAAGTTCTGTGTCTATGATACACAGTCTAACTGCTGCCCGGCAGTTTTGGTAGTGCACAAACAATTAAAAAGGATTAAAAAGGATCGCTTTAAGACGATCTAGGTTTTTCCTCGTCCAGGGTATCTACCAGCATGGTGTCCCACCTGTGTACCATCGGGCTTTTGCAGCAGTACAGATCAAGCGAAGCAACTCAAGTAGGATGGGGTTTGGTGAAGCTTTCATAAAAGTGAGATCATTCATTCAAACATCGTTCATGGTTCATTCACATCTTATCAATTCCTATCATGTATATATATATATGCATTTATGTATGTATACTTAGTTATCTATGGGAATATATATATATAATATTATATAATAATCATATAGAAAGAGTTCCTACACACCAATAAACAAAAAGGCCCACACACCTCATAACTTTATGGCTCCAAGTGCTGGGTGGCCCGAAGGCGCCTAAGGCCTGCCCGCTCCGCTTCGCTCACAAGCGGCCTCCGCCCCATCTAGTGGCCAAAACTGTTGAGTGGGAGACACATGGAGAAACATCTATAGTTGCATCCTGCCTTGGTTGATGCAAAAAGAACCGCCCCTGTCGCTGCCCCCCAGTTCCCAATTCAAGCACCTTTTGACATGGGTCCTAAGGTTCTGCACCGTCTGGACACAGCAACATCACATTTCAGCAGATCTGAAGAGAATTAACCCAACAACACCATGTGGGAAAAGGAAATGCTTCGTTTATTCTGAGTGCGACTGCAACTTCTAGGCTTCAAACATCTTTCTTGATGAACAGCTCAGAATTGTGATATAAAACAGTACACATATGCCAAGGAACCTGGACAAAAGAGGTCCCGTTGAGATTCTTCTCCGCCCCTGCTTCCAAGACAAACATTCAATCAAAGCAACCTCCCCAGAATGCCCAAACACAAGCAAACCTTAGACAGAGACACATCATGTCCTTCGATCAGCCGACAAACACCAACCAAAACCCGCCTTGGCGGCGTCGGGTTCCACGGACGAAGCGGCTCCTCGACATGCCGCGCGGGCGGGTTCCCTGTGACCTCCGCATGCGTCCGCTTCGCCGCGAAGGACCTGGGAGAAGGGCGATGCGAAGAATGCGGTCCGCGCGTCGCTACAAGAGGGAGAAGTTAGTGGCGTCTGACTCGCACCAAGTGGTTTCCGGAGTTTTGTGATAGAACTTTCTTGGAGAATGTGTGATAAGTGAATTTGAGGATATTGATTCTGAAGGACAAAGCAGGCAGGGATTGCGGGGTCAGTTTGGCGTGCGAGACGTCAATGCCCAAAAGGTGCACTTGGGTGAGCATGGGCGATACAAGCTATGAAACCAGCAAACAAAACAGGTGACCGGTATTATGCTTTGGCAACCAATGGATATGCGTGACACCATTGCATTCTTGGAAAAAAATTGCAAATCACATCTCAAATCACAAGATTTGAGGAGAAGGTGATCACTTGCCGACACTTGGCTTGAATGGAGCTTCCAATGTCAGAAGCACAGCTATGATGAACCACCATGATGAAAGAAACACCATGATGAAAGAAAAGCAACCAAGTTGCGTAAGGTTTCCAGAACATGAGATGAATTGATGGCTTGATATTAAATTGATTTCAATACGTTCTGGGAGTGGCTGTTGCCAGTTCTTTTTAGAACAGCGGTTTTGGCCACGATCTGCGACCCATGCAGTCCAAATCACGGCTGAATATCGTGTGAACCCTCCAAGGGGGAAACCAAACTCTAGGTTCTTTGTGCCTCACAGAAAACACAGAACTGCCCAGTCCAAATGGTCCGGTAGCTACGACTGGATCCTTTTGGCTAGGCTAGGCTAGCTAAATGGCCACTGTGTTTGATCAATAGGTCTCAATCGGTCAAACTCCACCTGTTTCCAGCCAGGCTATTGGTATGGCGATTGGTATAGCTCTTCCACTCAGGGCCACATAAAAAAGGTCACCACTTGCATACAATTGCACACTCCAAAAAAAGACATGTATGGAGTAACATGGGATTTATGCACTCCAAAGGGGTAGGTACGCAATCCTTAGAGGGATCCAGTCGTACCTTTCCGAGAAGCGACTGGACCCGAACATGGCACCTACATAACAATGTCTCCAATCACCGTACCTGAGAAGGTACGATCGGATTTGTAGGGAATATATAGCAATGGCCAACAAAACCTGGAGTGCTTTTAGCTTCTGAACCCGCGCGCCGAGGGCACGACGTGTGGCTTGTGCCGCCTGCGCCCTGTGATCTGTCCTTGGACATCGGACGTGTACGCCCAGCGCACGTTGGCACGTAAGAAACAAACACCATCCATTCAAGGCACACCATTGTGTTATAAGCTACGAATGGTGTGTGTAGCTTATATAAGGCTTACCCATATCACACACCATGTTTTTTTCAATGATATATATATATATATATTAAGCTACGAAGTGATGACGGTTGGTCACCTATCTTTCACTTGTCCAAGCTATGTTGTCGAAATGCAAAAACACGGTCTCTCAGCAGCCTCTCCATGGCTCGAAATGGTTCCATGCTCAGGGTCCGCGCATGCGCTGCGGAAACGAAGCCACTCTCACCTGCAATCGCTCCGTTGACTCGTTGACCATGCCAGATCTTGAAGTGGGAAAGGCTTTAAGGGACTCTCTGCAACCAGGAGCCTCTTGGCATCCAGAACATCCAACCACATCAACAAAGCTTTCCTTGGTTAAAAATGAGTGTAGGTCAAAACCTCACCCTACACAGCATGGAAACTCCCTTCTGAGACCGAGGAGCGGTAAGGGGGCGGCGTTGACATGACAGAGTGCGCAAGCGCAGCACCCTACCAAACCAAGGAAGGTTGACATCCTTTTCAGGGGTCAACCAGGATGTCCGGGGTCAAAAACCCACACCCACGTGCCCGCATGTGAAAACACAGGCCTCCTCTGTATGAGTGGCTACGTCGATTCAGATTTCAGTTCTGGCTTTTGCTGGGATTTGCTAGCTGATCCCACCGAGCGGGACATGGTATGGTGCTATATTGTGCTCAAATCCCCATCATGCACTCACCAAAGAGTCACAAACCCCAGTGTCGTTCCATGTGATCGATTTCAGCACGTGGAATCGCTGAAGAAGTCGTCAAAACAGTGGTCGAAGAGCCAAAGGCCAGCGGCTTGGAACATGACAGTTGCCTGAAGCTTCTTCAAACGACATAAGGATGCTGGAATTCAGGGTTGATGGAGCAGGGACGGGCAGGGCAGCGTGGAAATTCTGGTGCTCTTCGATCCAAAGGCTTTCAAAGTGACCACATCCTGCATTTGAGCAGATGATTAACATCCTGCGTTTGAGCAAATGATTGTTTCGACTGAACAAAGGGCCCTCTCCTTTGCTTTAAATTGGATGGGTAGTCCACTCTGCCCCAGCAAAGACCATGTCATGTTTGGTGCCTGCCCAGCTATGTAGAGCTTCCTGGACAGGCCAAGGTTCAGAAGCGCCTGGGTCGCTGCGTCAGCAACGTTGCAAGCTAGGACATTGACTTCATTTACGGAAGACTCATCATGTTGACGCTGCAAACCGGCCAAGGTTTGCCCAACATTTATCGAGCAATCACGAAGAAGGACCTGGGGACCAAATTCTGCAGAATTCAAGGCTGGCCCTTCATAAATCTGAGGAATCAACTCTTAGAATACCCTTCGTTGCTCTTGTACCCTCGGAACGTTTTTCATGGGCTCCACCACTCGACCTAACTTGCCCAAAGCAAGGTCCTATAGCCGCCCCTTCTCACCGGAATATCCCCCAAACACCACTCCCCGGAACACTCCCTTTGTGTTAGTTGAGTGGTCCTCTTGCGAACTTGTCAGCAAACTCCCCTGAGCGTCTGGTGTGCCATCTCTTGACAGTCTCCATACCCATCTCAGGCGTATACACAAAAACACATAACATACCAAAACTATCCCAAACTCTTCATGTATGGAATTTATGCCTACATTGACATTGACCCCTCAAACCGCCCCAATGTAGGTAATTACGGCATACTAGTACATGGAGTGTCGGGGATCGGCATAGTCCACTTCTGATATACCATGATTACCCCATAGTTTATGCGTGCTTTGGCTTTGGCGTGGCCGACTTTTACGTTGGCAGGTGTGCACCTGGCCAAGCATGCATTGTCAAGAGTTCACTAGCACGATCAGAGAACTCGAAGGACGTTAGGATCTCACGACTTGCAAAACTCGACTTTTTTTTTGTTGAGCCCCTTGTTATAACTGGTCTCAGGGGAGTTGGAATACATCAACTGAGCAGCTTCGAAAACCCCTATTACTTTTTTGTATAATCCAGGTTTGCTTTCGCAAAGCTTTCGCGGAGCTTTCGCGGCCTGCATTCTGGCTTTCGCGGAAGGTGTGGTGTTATGTGGGGCTTTCGCGGCGGCTTTCGCGGCGATTCGTTTTCGATTGGGAAATTCGATTGGGATATTGTACAATAAAGTGATTGATCTATATAAGTTATCCGATATAAGTGTCCTTAGGGTGGTCAAAACTGAACAAATTTCTTTCCGGCAACATCCTGGCACAAGGAGTTGTAGCAGCACCGTTCAAGTATTATTGTTGTCATCAGAAGAGGAGGAAAACTTGCTGAAACTTTTTGCTGGGGCCAGATACCTTTCCCGGATATTTTCGACTTGCGCGGTTCTTTCGCGAGGCTTTCGCGCGGGTTTCGCGGAAATTCGTCTGGGCTTTTCGATTTTCCCCTGAAACACTTGCTCTTCAGCGCTGCTGCTGCTGCTGGCTGGTGTGCTGCGGCTGGCTGGCTGGCTGGCCTGCTGCGGCTGCCTGCATAAAAATATGGTCACCCACATAAACAACACGACATGCACAAAAAATTTGACTTTCGCGAAAGCTTTCGCGACGCTGTTCTTCTGGGGTTCTTTCGCGGGGCTTTCGCGAACCTTTCGCGACCTGCGTTTTGGCTTTCGCGAAAGAATGTGAGATTACAGTTTGCACACTTTCCATCATAGAGGTTTTTGAAGCTGCTCAACTGGTGGAAGATCCAAAAACATGTTAAACATATTATATTCCCAAAAGCGCCAATCGACCAACACCTGTCTGTTATGGTCGTTCTTTTTTGCACCACCCCACATGTCTAATGTTGACATAGGATAAAGTAACCACCCCCCTTTAATCAATCCCAGCTCGACCCCCCCAATACTAAACTAATTTAAAACCTAGATTTCCACCTTGGCATCCAGTCTGTTCCCTGGTGCACGTCTTCCGATCCCCAAGTCCCAGGCGGGCATCCTGAACGAGCGCAGCGTGGAGTGAAGGCGAAAGAGGGCGTGCACCGCTCATTGAGACACCCCGATCATCCCCGATCATCCGATCATCCAGTGTCCATCGTGAGGTTGAGGTTCTTTGTTTGGTTTCGGACGGCTCCTTTCCACGCAAAAAACACTACATCAATGCCGCTAGGCAATAACGAAAGCGTATGGAATCGACTCTGTCAATCGTCCCTGTCCTCCAAGGCGATCTCTTAGGTCCAACGCCGCTTTGTATGAAAAGCTTTCCTGAAAGTATTCCCAGCCCTTGAATTGTTGTTGGAAGAATATGAAGCATGTTCATGTGTTTTCTCCATTCGATTAATTGTTTGGTTTTTCCTCTCAACTTAGGTTTTAAAAATTCACTTGTAACCACCACCACCACCACCATCACCGCCACCAGCAGCACCAGCAGCAGGAGCAGCAGCAGCAGCACCCACGTGGTGCCTCTTCCTAGTTTTATGCTATGCTTTGCTCGATTCCTGGAACTCTGAGCAGAAACACTTTTACAAATAACATATTAAAACATATCCAAACTATTGCCCCAAACAATCCTTCAAGGTCATAGTCCACAAGCATCCCAGTGTTTGTTGAACTGTATGAATTGATTTGGGGGATGGAATAATGCAAGGGTTTGGAGCCCATCTTCAGAAGCTACTATGACGACGACTCGGACTCATAATCCTACCCTTCTTGCTGCTGCTGCTGCTGCTGCTTCTATTGTGCTGCTTGTCCTGCCACTGCTACTGCTACTCCTGCTGCTGCTACTCCGACTACTAACTGTTACTTTATATCTAGTTGGCCAAGCTCCCTGAAATGGTTTCGGAGGCCACACGGAAAAACACATGCTATATAGCCATGCTATTGCGTCTCTCATTTCGTTTGCTAGGGGCTAGGGGGAGTGTATTTGCCAATCCGACATGACGATACATGACGTAGCTCCAAAGGTGGATTGGTCACAGGCTGCGGCGGCCCAATTTTTGAATTCTGGGTAATTCTTTTGGAAGCTCCTGAAGAATACAGATCTACCAAGCACTTCACCATCTTCACCGGTCGGGTCTAAACAGAAAGGCACCAAGACTCGTTCTTCCCCAAAGAAATACGTCAGCCGGCAGCGGCACGCGCGACGGATGTGGAGGATGTCCTGCATCCAGCACGAGGAATCATAGCCACCATACTCCTGCCAAAATCCGAGCACCGTTTCTGAGATACGTAGAGACATGTTGCATAGTTTCATACAGCCCAGTCAAATTCTACAGTGTGCGGCGGCCTTGGAAAAGAGCTGTATTGGAGCTGCGTCTGCTGTTCTTGTACTTGCTGCATCGGCTGTTCTTGTATGCAACGCTGTGGTTGTTTGCATCGACCAATGAGGTGCCAACACAAAGGCTAGAAATTCAGTGTGCTTCCACTTCGATCTGCAAACCCAAGAACAAAAAAATGAGTTGAACGACAAGGGCATGGGGGGTAGTGTACGGTCCCTATCAACACATTGGGGTTTCTCAGGAAGAATCCGCATACCGGTCGTCAGTCTTCATAAGTGCTCACATGTCCTGGCAAATCTTGCCGAGGATTTGTCCAACATCCTTGTACACTTACACCTGACCGCCAGTACAATAGGATCCTATTACAGGAGAGGTTCCTATTACAATATGTTCCTAAGAACCCTCTTCCCCTCAACCTGCACCCTGACCGCCAGTACAATAGGAAAGGTATTGGTTTCTCAAGAAGTGTCCTCAACCTCTGGCATCGCGTGCATTCCAGCCTGGCAGTGCAGGAAAATGAGTCTCTGACCCCAAAGGAAAGGAAGGTGTCTGGGTATAGCTAAGCAGCTGGAAGGGCACCACAAATCTGGTGAACAATTGAATGATTGGTGTTTGGAACCCAAAGTTTGGGAGAAAGAACCACCAGCTCTGCTAGCGAGGAGGGAACATGCTTCTTTCCAGCTCCCCCGTCTCGGAGGTCAAGCAAGTGAGCCTCTCCAGGGACGTCTGAGCCATCCACTGTGCTCCCAGCCATTTGGATCTCTGCGACCTGCTCCTTTGAACAAGCTACACCGCGTGCCTGTTGTGGCTGCTATACCAACCAGATCTGATCTTTTTGGGGGAACTGCCTTCTATGATCTCCGAACCCAACTGTTCAAACCATTCTTTACTTAACTACAAGCTCTGGATTAACCTCTCTCTCTGTATGTATGTATAGGTGTATGTACTCTCTGTATGTCCTTTCCAGTCATCCTTTCATTCAATAGACAGGAAACTGTGCTTTTCCACTTCCACCACTCAGGAGACGGGCCGACGGGAGGTGTCCCACTAGTGCCATGGCAGTGCCATGGCAGGCAAGACGTGCCCTGGCAGTGCCCTGGCACCCCCACGCCTCCATGCTCCAAGCCCCAAAATACTCTTCGGCCTCGGCCTCAAGAGTCTTCCGCAGTGAACGGATGTCGCTCCATTGGGTCTATCCGGTTACCAGTAACGGATGATGATAGGGCCTGGTGGCAGACCTTGTTCCAAAATTGTGATTTGCTTGTGAACTGACTGTTGCAGGTAAGTTCGGACAGACCCAAAGTATCCAAACGAAATCTTTGAGCCCAGTGCCTGGGCCAAAACATGCCAGTTCCATGGTGTTCGACTCTTCGTTTCCTCGTCCCAAACTCATCGGTCAAGAGAACAGTACAAACACGAAACTCAACAAATCTCAACGACCAAAACACTTAAGACAATGATCACACAAATCTGAAGAAACGTCTGAAGAAACGCACTAGCAGCTAGTTGGACTTGAGCACCACTAGAAAACGAACCATGCACATCCTGTAGAAAGTCATCCTTATTAAGGCTTAAGGATTCCCCCCTTCTCCCTCGGTGTCTTTTCCTGTGGCCCCCCACGGGGGCTCCCCACGCTTGCTCCGGAGCCACACTCGGCTCCTGAGGTTCGTGAGCCACCATTGGGCCGGCCCAACCGGAGTGACCCGTGCTCCACCGGTTTTTTGCGCGACTCAAACACCGTCCCAGACCCACCGTCCGATTCTGGTGATCTTTGTCCATGGACCAGGAGGAGCTTCGGGGCACGGTGCGGGGCACCGTGCCATAGCCATGGGAGCCATGTAGGTAAAGAAAAGGAGACCTAGAAGCAGTGTGACCCATGTATTGGTGTGGTGTCAATACAAAGGTTAAATGTGTTCAAGGTCTATTATTTACATAGTATATGATATGAACATGTCTCACGCTGTGCTGTGGAAACAACAAAAAATAGCTCTATGAGTGTGAAAGACTCAAACCGACTCACAGCCCTCGTGGTATTGCCAGGCGACAGGTAGATTCAGACATATCAGGCGACAGCGTGGAATTCTGAAATTGACCCGTGCACAGCAGCAGGTACATGTGCCGGTTTCTTTAGTGGTTCGATATAACCAACCTTTCTCCACCCAAGGCGTTTGGAGGTTTGGTGATCATGTCAATGCTGCCAAACAAAAAGGGATGACTTCAACTTCTCCACAGCATCTCAAAGCTCACTACCTGCATACACATTGTGTTTGAGGAACACAAAAACACCGCCAAACGTTGGCACAGTGCGACAATGTCAATGCTGGAAATCAACCTTTATGACAGCAACGTTGTAAGATTATGTCAAACACACTGGCTGGAACTCGCACCCAAAAAGGTAGCTTCGACAACCGCAAGAAAGGGATACAAAGGGTACAGCACCATCTCGGAACACCTGTTTGGATGTTTTTGGATGTGCATCCTTTCCGTTCACCATTCTGTTTAGCTTCCTGAAGCCAACTGTGCAGGACAGAAACAAATTGACTAAGAGCATCAAACCCCAATCACAGGCTGTAAAACCGCTGACCCGGTTTCTTGTGAACGGTAGAACCAGGCCATCAGGTGACCAGGCCCAGGCCATCGGGTGGTCACCCACACCCGATGGCCAAAGCATTGAATCAACTGCCATGAAAGGAAGGGGAGGGGTGCAAGTAATAAAACACCTCCACTCCCGAAAATCACCTGGTTACGTGGATGGCACCACCTGTTCGTAGTGGATTTCATGGTCTTCCTTTCGGGGCCATTCTCCACGTAACCATGTTAGTTCCAGGGAGTGTATATAGTTGGCTTCTTCGGAGACCCTACACTGCAACACTGCACTGCATGGTAGCTCATGGTAGCTCCATGGCGTCCACCCGTGCCAAGGTTGGGTTACCCAACCTGATCGGTTCATGGCGTCGGTTCATGCGTCGGATGGTTACAGATGGTGAGGGCCAACTGATCAACCCAACCCAACCGATGTTCACGTCACTTCAGACCCCACGTCAGACCCGTCACTGAAAACCAGGCGAAGTAGAAGGGGAGCGGTGAGCGAACGTACCCAGCACCAAGGTCAATGTGCTTTTTGGAAAGGCAAGGGCACTAAGTGGCACTAAATGGCACAAATCCTAACCCGAATGCGATATGTAACTATTCATCTATTGGACACATCCTAGTGGCATTCATCCATAGCAGCCAGCTATATATCTCTACAGCCCGGGACTGTCGATCACCACTGTCGTCGATTCTAGGGGTTTCGCCTGACTCTCCATGCGTCTGGCCCTCTCAAGAACCGACCTCGTAGGCATAGCCGCTCCATCGGTCTCCGTGGGCATCGCCGTGGACGGCAGACGGGTACATTGGGCCTCCTGCCGCCAGTGACGTGGCCAAGCGGCCATGGGTGGTCGTCAGCTGGGAGAAGATCCGAGGCAGAAGGACCACCGTCTTCAGTGGATGAGAGTGGTTGATTCTATATAGTTATATATGAGCGACCAGCAAAACTAGGGGTCGTTTGGTGGTACGTTTAGAGCATGGTATCGTTTTTGGGATTGGTATCGTTTTTCAACCCATATGCAATTTTTTGGGGGAGGTATCGTCTAAATATGTAATTTGCTCTGGAAGGTGATCTTGCAAATGATGACTAGTAGTCGTCGTGTACTAGTACTAGTACTACGTAGTAGCAAAGTAGTAGTAGTAGTAGTCGTCGTCGTCGTCGTCGTCGTCGTAGTCGTAGTAGTAGTAGTAGTAGTAGTAGTAGTAGGAGCAGTAGAGTAGCAGTAGTAGTGGTAGTGGTAGTGGTAGTTGTAGTTGTTGTTGTTGTGGTTGTCGTCGTCGTCGTCGTAGGTAGTAGTAGTCGTCGTCGTGTAGTAGTAGTAGTAGTAGTAGTCGTCGTCGTCGTCGTAGCAGTAGTAGTAGTAGTAGTTAGTAGTAGGAGTAGGAGTAGGAGTAGGAGTAGCAGTAGCAGTAGCAGTAGCAGTAGTAGTCGTCGTCGTAGTAGTGGTAGTAGTAGTGGTAGTAAAAGTCGTAGTAGTAAGTAGTAGTGGTAGTAGTGGTGGTAGTGGTAGTGGTAGTCGTAGTAGTAAGTAGTAGTAGTTGTAGTAGTAGTAGTAGTTGTTGTTGTTGTTGTTGTAGTCGTAGTAGTCGTAGTAGTCGTCGTCGTCGTCGTAGCAGTAGTAGTAGTAGTCGTCGTCATAGTAGTAGTATAGTAGTAGTAGTAGTAGTAGTAGTAGTAGCAGCAGCAGCAGCAGCAGCAGAAATAGAAGTAGTGGCATGTGAGTGGGCAGGTGGTGTCTGAGGGGATACAGACCTATGAAGTGGGTATCGTTTGGTATCGTTTTTGGTATCGGTCTGAACCCGTAATTGTTTCCCATCGAAGAAAAATAATGGAAAATTAGCAAAAATGAAATGGAATGTCCAGCTAGCATGGCAAACCATATGCAAAAAAAACCTTGGACATTTACTGTCTCGAGTGTCAACATTGTCAACAGGCAAAGATAGATTCCAAGATGTGTACCGTCACAAGGCTAGGTATCGTTTTTGGGATTGGTATCGTTTTTTCAAGGAAAATGCAAATTGCTCATTTTTGAAGAAACGTGAGCGCCGACCTTTAGCACTTTGCTCATATATATATATATATATCCCTAAAAATCCAAATACCTTCTCAGAAGGTGATTGGAGACACTGTTATGTAGGTTTGGAGGGTCCAAGTATGTCCAAGTACCTTCTGAGAAGGTGATTGGATCCCTAGGGTATATTATATAACATTATATATTGCTCTGGGGTTCACATATGTTCACATGCAATGGAACCAACATGAACCATGCTGCTCTGAGAAGTCTGATGTGTGTGTGTCGCACAATACAGGTACCATTCAATAAGCCTTCACCAGCATTGTGCAACACACACACACACGCAGGGTTTGTGGCAAACCGCTTCAACGTGCGACTCACCAGTGGACAAACCGCAATTCAGCAGGGATTCAACAAATCGTAGAATATCGTAGAATATAATGAATTACAAACTGATGTTGGGTGTTCATTACAGGGATCAAAGGCTTTTCTGTCATGGGAGGTTTTCGCATGGGCTCCTAACATTGCAAATTCTCAAACACAGGGGTGTGTGTGTGTGTGTTGTGTGTGTCACACCCTGGTTCCAAGGGTTTTT